CAGGCCTTGCCAGGATACATCTGTCTGGCTCGGGACACAATCTGGAGCTCAGAGTTGGGGTTCTTAAATAGCACCATGTAGTTTGTGTTGAGAGTGATGGTGCAGCTCTTTTTACCCTAGCAAAAAACATTCTGGACAATGTCCAGGATGCTAAGATTCCTGTGATAACATACTTCATAAAAGCTTTCTCAATTTCTCTCACAAGCAGAGTTTCTCAAATCATCAATCACAACCATATTTACTTTATTAGGGGGAAAAAAATGGTTATCACTAAGACTCCCAGGCAAGTCCTCCACGAATTTGATAAAACGGTATTTCCAGAGCACTTCCTGATACAGCAGTTGCCAGCAACTGTAACACCACAGAATATTCCCAGCCATAACAGACAGCAAGTGGTCGGCATTCTTCAGTTGTCAAGTGGTTGCAAGTGAGCTGGCTGAGCAGCGTCAGAGCAGGTGAAAGGGAGATAGACAGGATTTTCTCTGAGACGCAGCAACTTGATGAGCCTCAGACCCCAAATGCAGTGGAGAAGCAGGCAGTGTCTACCCCTAGTATTAAGGTAAGTGCAAATTCTGAAGAAGTTGAAGAATGGAAGCTGGTGACTTCTGGAAGCCAGCAGAAGGCTCCTGTCCCACCTAAGGGCTTACAACTACAAAATAGGTTCACTGCCCTCAAAGTTAAAGAGGACCCAGATGTGCCTTGAAGCAAAGGATCTAGTCCACCTGACCCTAAACCATGCATGGCCACCAGGAAGAAGTGGCCAGTGATCATAATGAGTGCTGCCCTGCTGTGGGGGACAGAGGCACTGATCTGCCAGCCTGGCCTATCATCTACAGAGGTTGCTGCCTGCTGGGCACCCAGATCAGGGATGTTGCGGAGGAACTGGTGAAGCTCATTAAGCCTGCTTTTATTCCTTGTTGTCGTGGTTTAACCTCAGCTGGCAACTGAGCACCACACAGCCGCTCGCTCACTCTCCCTACACTCCAGTGGGATGGGGGAGAGAATTGGAAGAGTAAAAGTGAGAAAACTCATGGATTGAGATAAAGGCAGTTTAATAATGTAAATAAAATCCTAATAATAATAACAATAATAATAAAAGAATATACAAAGCAAGTGATGCACGATGCAATTGCTCACCACCCGCTGACCAATGCCCAGCCAGTCCCCGAGCAGCGGCGCCCCCCGGCCAGCTTCCCCCAGTTTATGTACTGAGCATGACGTCATATGGTATGGAATGTCCCTTTGGCCAGTTGGGGTCAGCTGTCCTGGCTGTGCCCCCTCCCAGCTTCTTGTGCACCTCCAGCCTTCTCAGTCGGTAAAGAAGCTGAAAAGTCCTTGACTAGTCTAAGTACTACTTAGCAACTACTAAAACATCTCTGTGTTACCAACTTTGTTCTCATCCTAAATCCAAAACACAGCACTGTACCAGCTACAAGGATTAAAATTAACTCTATCCCCGCCAAAACCAGGACACTTTTGGGCACAAATGATACTGCTAGGGAAAACCTGAACAGAATCAAAAGTGATTACAGAGCTCTGCAGGCAGTGTTCAAGGGCATGGGGGCCCAGGTGGTGTTCTCCTCAATCCTGCTGGTGAGGGGAAAGGTGTGAGGAGGAGGGCACTGATAATACAGGTCAATAATTGGCTGTGGAACTGGAGTTGGTGACAGGGTTTTAAGTCCTACGACCATGGGACCCTGTTTGCAGAGCAGCATCTTCTCAGGAGAGGGGGGATCCACCTCACCAAGTCGGCAAAGTTACCTTTGCCAGTAGTAAGATGGCTGACCTGGTAAGGAGGGCTTTAAACTAGGAATGACGGGGGAGAGAGAGAGAGTGACCTACAGCCCTCTGAGGGAGTGATGGACACAGTTGATGAGCAAAGGGCCGGGGGTGATGTTCCAGGAAGGGATCACAAGATCAGGAAAACAGGGCGTAAGCGGGCTCACCTCCAGCAGCTGCATGTAAGCAAAGAAATGTCTACAAGGCAGCATTGTGGTGAAATCCCCAAAACCCTTTCTAGGATGTCAACATGCTGGGCTCCCTCTGTCAAGTGTCTGTACACTAATGTACACTAATGGAGCATAAACATGAGTTAGACATCTGTGTGCAGTTGCAGGGCTACGATCTTGTTGGGATCACGGATATGGGGTGGGATGGCTCCCATGACTGGCATGTTGCAATGGAGGGACACAAGCTCTTTTGGAAGGACAGGCTGGGAAGAGGAGTGGGACTTGCCCTTTCTGTGAGAGAGCAGCTGGAGTGCATGGAGCTCTGCCTAGGGATGGAAGATGAGCCAACCTTACTTATAGGTAAGGGTTAAAGAGAAGACAGGTAAGGGTGACATTGTAGTGAGTGTCTGCTATAGGCTGCCTGACCAGGAAGAACAGGCGGATGAGGCCCTCTACAGACAGACAGGAGCAGACTCACATTCACAGGCACTGGTCCTTATGGCAGACTTCTGCCACCTCAATATCTGCTGGACGGACAACACAGCAGGACATAAACAAGCCAGGAGGTTCCTGGAGTGCATTGACAACAACTTCATCACCTAAGTCATAGCTCCAGCTCTGCTGGAGCTCATACACACCCTGGAAAAGTGATAGAGCAGCTAATCCTGGAAACAATTTCCAGGCACATGAAAGGACAAGAGGTGACTGGGTGTAGTCAGCATGGATTCACCATGGGGAAGTCATGCTTGACCATGCTGATATCCAGCTACAAAGAAATGACTGGCTTCATAAACAAGAAAGGACTGGTGGATATAGTCTACCTTGATTTCAGTACGGCTTTCTACACTGTCTTCCATAGGATCCTTATAGAGAAGCTGTTGATGTACAGGCTGGATGAGCAGACAGTGAGGTGGATTGAAAACTGATTGTCAGTGGGTGATGATCAGTGGAATAAAGACTAGTTGGGGGCCAGTAACTAGTGGTGTCTGCAGGGATCAATACTTGTTCCAATCCTGTTCAACCTCTTAATTAATGATCTAGATGACAGGAAAAGTGTACCCGCAGCAAGTTCACAGTTGACACTAAACTGAGAAGAGTGGCTGGTACACTAGAGGATCATGCTGCCATCCAGAGGAATCTCAACAGGCTGGAGAAATGGGCTAACAAGAACCTCCTGCAGTTCAACAAGGGGAAAGGCAAAGTCCTGCACCTGGGGAGGAACAATCCCACGCACCAGTATGTGCTGGGGACCACCCAGCTGTAAAGCAGCTTTGCAGAAAAAGACCTGGGTTGTCATGCTGGACACCAAATCGACAATGAGCCAGCAATGTGCCCTTGCCTCAAAGAAAGCCAAGAGTGTTCTGGGCTGCACTGGGAGTAATGTTGCCAGAAGGCCAAGGAAGGTGATTGTTCCCCTCTACTCAGCACTGGTGAGGTCACTCCTGGAGTACTGGGTCCAGTTCTAGACTCCCCAGTACAAGGGAGATATAGAAGTACTGGAGACAATCCAATGAAGGGGCACAAAGAGGATGTATGAACTGGAGCACCTCTTCTATGAGGAAAGGCTGAGAGAGCTGGGACTGTTCAGCACAGAGAAGAGAGTGCTCAGGGTGGATCTTATCAATGTATCTAAATACCTGAAGGGAGGGTGCAAAGAAGAGAGAGCCAAGCTCTTCTCAGAGGTCCCCAGTGACAGGACCACAGGCAATAGGCACAGGCTGAAACACAGGAGGCTCTGTCTGAAACATCAGGGAACACTTTTTTACTGGGGAGGGTGACTGAGCACTGGCACGTATTGCCCAGAGAGGTTGTGGATTCTCCCTCCTTGGAGATACTCAAAAGCCATCTGGACATGGTCCCGGGGAACCTGCGTTAGATGGCCGTGCTTCAGAAGGGTGGTTGGACAAGGTGATCTTCAGAGGTCCCTTCCAACCTCAACCATTCTGTGATTCTCCAAAAGACTTTTTATGAAATAATATTTCCCATAGTTTCTAAACCCTTCCAGGATAGCAGAAGAGGGATGCTTTCAGTGCATGCCCATGATCAAAAGCCATAGAGGAGGCTTTTAAATTTTTAGTTAGTACTCTTTTGTTGTAGACCACCTTCTGCATCTTCCAAAGGAACCTTGGTTTCTATTACCCACTTCTGCTTGTTCCTGGTGATAGAATGTTGCTCTATCACAATCTTTTTAGGGTCATCACTGTCTGGATTTACACCATAATCCAACACGAGATCCCTCAGTGCCTCAAAATTGATTTTTCCTCTGTTTGTTACATTTAGAGTGATGCCTTCAACCTTTAAGAACACTTCCTTTCGGACTGCAAGTAGCTGTAGGATTTGGGGCCTGATGACACAAACTCCACAACATGCTCATCTGGAGTACATTTGCCCGTCAACTTACCTAAGTAGTCACCAAGCAGGGAGGTCCCAGTCCCCTGGACAACTCTCAGATATCATAGAATCTGTGTCAAGATAAAGGCAATGGTCTTGCAGGGAACCTAAGAGATTGTAAAGCTTTAGGTGTGCATATGCTGTTGTGAAGCAAGTTATAGAAATGTCAGTATTGTACTCCAGGGTCATGCGCCCTTTGGCATACTTTCATGAGACAGTGGCCACATCCTCAACAATAAAGTCACAATAGGAAATATCGTAAGCTGGAGAAAAGAGGTAACCATACAACTCATCTGGTTGTCTTACTTTACAATGTTTATGTTGGGTAGGCTGGATCTCTGTCCAAATTTTCCCCACAGACAATTTAAAAACTTTTGCAATTTGACGTTTCGCAGCGTTTTCTTATTACGTTCAGGCTGCAAAATGACATCGTATTTCGGCCTGTCATCTTCAACCTATGTTGAAGCTTTTTTGTCATCATCTGTGCACCAAGCTGGGTAGCCTGAAGCTTCATGCTTCTAGTGGAGGTAGAGATTTAGATAGTCTGAGAAGAAAACACTCATGGTGGGGTGATGGACGCATGGCAGACTGCTCCTCACTCGTCCCTGTGCTCTGATTCCTCTCTGCCCTCTCTCCCAGGTGCACCTCCAACCCAGAGACATGTCCTGCTACAACCAGTGCCTGCCATGCCGGCCCTGCAGCCCAACCCCGCTGGCCAACAGCTGCAATGAGCCCTGTGTCAGGCAGTGCCAGAACTCCACCGTCGTCATCCAGCCCTCTCCCGTGGTGGTGACCCTGCCTGGCCCCATCCTCAGCTCCTTCCCGCAGAACACTGTTGTGGGCTCCTCCACCTCTGCTGCTGTTGGCAGCATCCTCAGCTGTGACGGAGTGCCCATCACCTCTGGGTGCTGTAACCTCTGGCGTTTCCAAGCGGCTACTGTGGCAGAAGGTGCCCCTCCCGCTTAATCTCCTGGTGACAGCCCAGACAAGGACCCCAGGAACCCAGAATCTGATGCCAGATGGAGGACAGAGATCCTGGCCATTGATTTCAGAGAGACTGAGCATCCAGTGCTGCCCTTCCAAAGGAGGGCAGCTGGAGCTCTCTGAAAACAAGGCCAAGGTCTAACTTCCTTGCCTTCCACTGTCTCCCATCTCTTTCTTGTCTTCTGTTGTTCTGGGCCCTAAGACCTCCAGAGCCAACCTGTGGAATCTGCTGACCCCTCTTCCTCTGTAGGGCAGGCAGATGGATGCCCTGTGTGATCTCCACCTTGGGCAATGGGCACAGATTTTTGGCAGCTGGTGATGCTCTCCCTGCTGTGGAAAACTCCTCTATAAGTGAACTTGTTTCCCTCTTCAGAGTCATTAAAGTTTTCTGCATCCCAGCCTCTGCCTCCACATATTCCTTTTCTTGATGGACATTGTCTGGAGTTGCCAAGGAAGAAAGGCATTGCCTTGGGTGTCAGGGCGTAAGGTGGGGGCACAAGTGGAAGAGAAATGGGAGGGTGGGACACAGGGCAATGGGGCCCTTCCAGTCACTGTCCCTTGGAGCTGAGGAAGACATACTCAGCTCCACAGCCAGTGGTGATCAGGACCTGCATTCTGGCATCCCTGCTCAGATATGGCCTCTTGGCCTCAGAGCATGTCCTGTAGACGGAGAGGTTGACCACTGCTATCCCCCAGTGAGGAGCCAGGTGCTGCTGGAGGCTCTGAGAGGTCAGCAGCTCACAAGCTTGTGAAGAAGGAAATCCCTCCTGCTTTGGATAGCCCTGTGCTGGGAAAAGAAGCTCCATCAGAAGATGGTCTCAAAGGTTGCAGGAGTGATGATGGTATGAAAAAAAGCCTTCAAAACAGCCCCAGACCTTCTCCTCCTCATCCTCCTACCTGTTCCCAGAATGAGGGAGCATGGCCTGCACCCAAGGGCAAAAGTAGCAAGGACAAGTCACCTATACACCTCCCTACCCCCAAACAGTTCCCTGCACAGCCGAGCAGTTCCAGAGATGTGCAGGCAACTCACAGACTGATGTTGAAATCAGCCTGACCAGGCCACACACCAGGGCCCTCATGCCTCTTACACACCCCCAGCTCCCACCTGCCGTTTCCCCAGGCATGAGGCAGCTTTCACCAAGGCCAGCTCTTCTTCTGGCAGGGCCTGTTGCCCACCTCTGCCTGGTGGTCTCTTCTCTCATTGAGATCTTGGATAGAGCTGTACAGCCTGGTCTCACTGCAGAAGAAATGAGGCAGGTTTGGGGAAAACCTATGAGGTAGGGCATGAGAAGGGCTCCAAGGATGGGCAGAGTGCACTGGCGAGAGCAGGTCCTCCAGATCTCAGCACACGGCCACACAGCAACTGGAGGGTTCACAAGGTGGTTCTGAGTATTATCCAAAATTGTTGTAATCATGTAATTCAGGAAGGAGCTTTGCGACATGGCATGTTATTTATGTTTTTCACCTTACTTTGAACTCTGACCTGTGAGGGACACATCCCGGAGCAGGTACTCTAAGAGACAGGCCCACAGGAAACCCTGAATAAGCAATGTGCAGCAGGGAAAACCAGGAAGCAAAGAGCAGCAGCAAGGAACCATTGCACAAGCGATCCCAACCTCCTGCATTGCCCATCAGCTCACCAGAGCAACGGGCAGAATAACCAGATAACCCATGGTGAAAACAAAGTAACATGAGACTCTTTCACCACCTTCTCCTTCCTCTCAAGCCACTGACACTGTTCTCTCCTGGAGGAGGATCTTGGAGTGCAGATCCCTGGGTGAACAGGGGAAGCAGCACTGCCAGGGGAGAGCAGAGGGCCCCTTCCCCCAAGCTCAGCCTTGCACCACAGACACATCCCCTCCCTCCCCTGGCTTGTTGCACAGCCAAGGAAGCTCCCTGCACCAGGGTGTCTTGCACAGCACAGAGGTACAAGGCACTGTCAGAGACCTCGACTTACTCCAGCTGCAGGAGGCTGTATTTCCCGGTGGTGTTCAGCAGCGTGGTGAGACGGCCGTTCCGCTTGGAGCCAGCTACCGCTTGAGACGAGATCAGCTGTGGGGCTTGTTTTTTCTTCTGCTGGTACCAGAACAAGCCTTTAAAGTTAGTGGTCTGGCAGGTGCAGGTGCCCTGGAAGGTGTCTCTCTCCTCTGCTGTGACTTGTCCTTCTTGCTGGGTGACGGTGGTCTGCCCCATGGTGCCTGGAAGAAAGTAAGGGTCAGCGACTGTGCAGGGAAAGGCTCTGAGCTGCAAAACAGAGGGGACGCAAAGTGTCAGAAAAGAAGGCTCCCTGTCCCTTGTGCTGCAGCCAGAGCCCCATGGATGGGAACAGCAAGGCGGTGAGTGTCTTTGGGCAGGAGGCCTGAGACCTCAGCTCAGCATGGATCCCACAGCACAATAATGCCAATTGCCTCCCACAGGGATACCCCCAGAGAGAGCTCTGCTTTCACCCAGGTCTTCCGTCCTGACCCTTGTGCTGCCTGGAGTCCCCAGGGAACAGCCTGTAGTGCCTGGCCCTCCTGTGCTGGCTCCAGGACACCTCCAGCAGGGTGAGGGACCTGGGAACTCCTGTGAGAAGTTTCATCCTGCTTCCCACTCCCTGTCCTCTCAAAAGGCTCTGAGGTCTAGGAAGGGAGGGAAAAGGAAGCCTTGGCAGTGCAGAATTGCAGGAGGAATGGATAGGCAGGGCATTCTGCGTGAGATGTGCCAGCCAGGAGAGAGACTGGGACACCCTAAGAATGTGAGTGGGATGAGAGAGCTTTCATGTCCCTGCATCGACTTTCAAAAGTCCTGTGCGCCAGAATATATGTAGTGCCGAGAGAGAAAAGAGCTTCTGCAATGCTATGTCTGTGAAACACTGGGCCCAGACAGATCAGAAGAGAGAGGCAGAGAGAGGTGGATGGTTGCAAGAGAAAAGGAAGGGAAAGGGTCTGAGATGATCAGGAGAGCAGCTGTTTCTTCTCTGTCTCATCTTTTCCATCAGTAACAGCGTCTTGACAAAGCAGGTGCAAATCCACCCGTGTGATCTGGTGTTTCCCAGCATTTGCCCACAATTCAAGAGCAGCTCCCTGCAGAGATCTGTTGAGTGCCCCAGGAAAGCCGTGAGGACGAGATAGCCGAGGTGCATGTCGAGACCAACCTGCCTGTTGGCTGAGTGAGAGAGAGTCAGAAAACCACCTCCCAGCCCCGAGATAACAGAGCTGCCGGAAACGACTCTGTTGGGGGAGCGAAGGAGGAAGCGGGGAAGAGAAGTGATCTGTTCTTCCTGTGCCTGAAATGCTCCTTCGGGGTTTCTCCCTCCTCCAGCAGCAACACCTGTGGCTCCCTCAGGGGCCCTGGGGGCTCTGGGGGCCCCAGCCGTGGGAAGGGGCTGTTCCCGGTCAGCTCGCAGTGGAGCCCTCACCTCCCCAGCTAGAATCACCTGCTCTTCTGCACACCCACTGCTGGGCCATTTGGGAGGTCAGGGGTTTCCTCCCCACTGAGGTTTCACATCTTCCTCTGGGGTCCTCAGCTCTCCGGGGACACTGCTATTTCTTCTGGGAACAGAAGTCTCTTCTGTTTCTCTCACTTCTCCCCTTTCTTTCCTCAACTGCCTGGGAACAAGGCCTCTCCCCCAAATCCCCCAAATAGGAGATGAACCCTGCTGTGCAGCAGCCCAGGGCCTCTGGCTGTGTCCTGTTCTGGCGGGATAACCCACAGTGCAAGAGAAGAAACTGGGTCCAGTGGGACTGCTGCATGCCACA